GTTTAAATCTTAACTTTTTAAATTCATAGCAATACTCTGTGGTTATGAATCTACCACATTCCTACTAGTATTCATGTGTCCATACCAATACAGTGTAAGAATACTGTTCAGAAAACATTTTGGAGAGCTTCATAGTGGTTAGGCGAGTTGCCAAACACTGATCTTCAGATTAACTAAAGAGCTGAAATTAGATTCTTACAGATGGGACAGGATAAGGTGTTCATATGAGAAAGGATCCACTTTGAAGGGGGGGGAATTCTAAAATCTTTAACTTAATTTCCAACATGATTTTGACTTATCAAATGTTCAGTAAACACATGTTCATTAACTTTGAACATAACTTTGATAAGCATGTAATTTTCATGAGAAATTCTGAACATGAAAAATTTGTGCCAAGCTTGAGAAAAGGCTGCCTTGCTGTAGAAAAACCTATAATTAACCAGCAGTAATGACTTCCCCTTCTGAACACACAGTGGAAAACTGGGGATTTTTTTTTTAATATTGTTGTCCTGAAGTGGCTGGCTCAAGAACAGAAAGTTCAGCACTTGTTTGCAAATAGCTGGGTCTGTAAGTAATGAAGTGGGTATCTAAAATTCCAGTGGAAAATGAAGAAAACCGCTTGTGAAATATCTGAAGAAAATAGGGGTGGAGTTCTAGATTCAAATGATCAAAGTGGAAGCAACATCATGAAGCATTTGTCTATACATAATAGTAACTAAAGAGCAAAATAAGTCACTCTTATTGCCACTGAATCCAGTCTTCAGTGACAGGTTGGACTTCTCTGACCTATTCTGCAGTCACATAGGCATCTTTCATCTGGAAGGGGGAAAGCTTGCTGTATTTGACCCTGCTGAGATGACCAACACACCTTTTTTGTGGCTTACAAAGGCTTGTGAATTTTGCGTCCATTTTCTTTGCTAACTTTTTTGTTTGTGTTTGTTTTTTTAAATAATGCAATATAACATCTGGCATTGGAATAAGATGCCTCAAATAGGTGTATTGACATTTATATTGCTCTCAGGGCTCTTCTATAGAAGTGCATTAGTCTAGCTGAATTCTTATTACATTCTTTCATTAAGGTGTACTAGTGTAGTGTGTGTTTTTGTTTGTTTGTTTGTTTGTTTGTTTGTTTTTTTTGTCTTTTGTACTGCAGCTGAACAAGGCCAGCAGATTTTGAGCTCCTATTCTGAATCTTTAATATGCTTGGATAAACTGCCTTGGTTCTTTTCCCACTCAATAAATTCTTATGGCAGTATATTTTCACATTTAATTTTGTGAAGGCTATGTCTGTGATACAATATTTGTAGTTTAAGTAGTTGCCACCTTTCTGTAGCTTGCTTTAGATTTGACACACATACCTAAAGACTGGGCCAATGTTGTTTTTCCTTGTGGTCTTCTATGGAAACCTTTCTTCATTAAGGATCAACTGTTTTTAAAGAAGGCTTAACATGATCTTGAGTTTAGTACCCACAGTGGTCTGAGATGCTTTTCTGCTGGGATTGTAAATTATCAGGAGCGACCAAAAAAGACACACTATTTACCTTCTGAATGGATAGTTTGAAATACCATTGCTTGCAACCACATCTGTTTACACTGTCAAAAAATGAGGTGAAAAACTGGTACTTGGAGAACTGAATGGGCATTTTAACCAATGACGGACTTCTGTGGGGCCAGGATTTCTCCCATTACTCGATGGCAATATCCTTTTTCTAGCTGAGCTCTGAAATCACATGGAAATTTCATGATTTTTCTGAAAGATCCTCTTTTTTGCTAAAGGTAGCTAGGAACATTTGCATTAAGGTGGTTTTTTAACTACTTATTAGCTGTTTAATGTTTGCTGCTCTGTATGTAAACTTCTCTGCCTACTTAAGACATATGCTAAACAGTTAATAGTTTCTCATCCCATTACTGTCCACTTGTAAATGCTGACAAAATAAGAAGCAAATCTAATGCAGCTGGATTGTGGTATTAAAAATGAACAAAAGGCAGCCAACTGGCTGCCTCTTAGCCCTTCACACTAAAGCAGGAAAAAAGGCCTCCAGAGGGAAACTCCCTTTCTTTTAAGAGCTATGCCAGAAATCATTTCAGTGTACAGAAAACATCCTCCTATAAATGTTAATTCAGCATGGGACAAGACTGGTCCCAAAAAAGCTATGAATTCATAGCCAACTAGCTACCCAGGGGATCTTCATCAGATTAACCTTATTCAGAGAGCTGTTTCTTAATTACCATCTTCCGAATTCTCTCCCCACAGTTATGCAGTATTGAGAAGCTGACCACCATCCACCTACAAAAAAATCAGTAGCGTTGGTGACCATCCAATTGAAAGCTGTAGGGTCAGTAGTTACTCAAATGCTTATTGGCATATAGGGTTATCTAGAGGTGACATATTGGTCATGTTCCTCCTCCTCTTTCCCCAGATTTTGTTGGTCTTCTACTGAATGTCCTCGCACACAGACGGAGCATGCTCCATAACACTGCTGAAGCCAGCTACTTTCACTGTGCCCTCCTGCCCTGCATCAGCAGGCATGGATAGTCTCTGGATTTTCCCTTTATATAGCGTATAAAATGATCATCTGCCACTGTAGAGCTTGGAGTAGTTTTATTTGTAACATCTTACTTAAGCTAACCAAAACTCATTAACATCTCACCCAAGTGCTGTTTGCCATTCTTGAGGCTTATAAGCTGCAGTTTTTGGTTGTACAATGCTATAGACTTGCTTCTGACTCCTGGTTTATAATGGCTGGTAGCCACCTGACTGTTGGCAGCTGCTTTGTACGATTGCTCAGCAATAGGAGTCAAGTCCCCTGACATACTCTGTTCTTCTTGTAGCCTTTTACCTGAAAGTGCCTCCTACAGGAATATTTTACCCTAGAACATTTAGGAGCTCTTATGCTCAAGTGAAAAGAAACCATTACTGAAAAAATACTAGACCTGCCAGCTTTCCACAAGATGAGAATACACAGATTCAATAACATCAAGGAATTCATTTGCTTGTTAGTATTTACTATCTCTCTAACTCTAAAAGGCCTTTCTCTGAAGGTAGACATTGGCTGCAAAGGATGAAAACCTCTTGATGAAAACCTAGCATGGTGGGGGTAGAAAACTGCCTTTTCATTTAGGGTGTTTTTGTCTCCTCTCAATGCTTTAACAAGCTGTTTGAATTAAAGGGACCAGGTCATGGAACTTGGAATTTTGTTGTACTTCAGATTTATGGTGCCTTTAGTGAACACTGTTAAATAAGGTCCTGATTCAACTCCCAACTAAGTTATCTGGAGTTGGATGACAACCATAGACAGGTAGTTGGTTTCTGCACTGTCGGAGGCTTTCAAAAATAGGGTATGTCTACACTACAGAGTTAGCTCGAACTAACGGATGTTAGTTCGAACTAACTTTCATAGGCGCTACACTAGCGCTCCGCTAGTTCGAACTTAATTCGAACTAGCGGAGCGCTTAGTTCAAACTAGGAAAACCTCATTTTACGAGGATGGGCTTCTAATGCACTACTCACTAGCAAGGTCAGTATTCAAAACTGTTGTGACCGTGCACAGGGGTGTAGCAACTGGTCTGTTTAGAACTAAGCAATTAGAAGGGATCTGAAGCTAAAGATTAAGGGACTGACTTTCAGCTCAGAACTCTTTTGTTACCAGATATGCTTGTATTGGATAAACAGCTTTTTGGGGGAGGGGAAAAATCTCTTGGCAACTAAACCATGTTGGTTAGAATGGTTTAGGTAGACGAGAACGTCTGTGGATTTTTAATTTTATTTTTTATGCTAGGATCGCGCTTCTAAAGGAAGTCCATTTAAAATAGAAGCTGCATAGGTTCATATAATTATACAGGTTTATCCAGATCTATCAGAGTTGGACAAGCTAACTTCCTCTCACCTTCTAGTATTTAGATGACTTTGAGTCAGGTGTATTGGGATGCGTACAAGAATGTGGCCTAAAAGCTAGTTCACCAGAGTGCTGCCCAGAAGACCTGGATTGAAGAACTAGTACTACCACTGGCCAGCCTGGTGATGTTGGGTAATTTGATATTTTACAAATGGGAATTATAATAATTTTGTAAAGTGCTTTGACTCCTATCAATGGAACATGTTCCATAAGAGCTACATATAGTATTTCCATTCCTGGTCACAATGAAGATGTCCAAGCGGAGATGAAAATATCAGGTTGGCTGATTTCTAAGTCAGTGGTGCTCAGTGTGGTCCATGATGGTCTTACAGGTAGGCTGCAGGCTTGGGGCTTGCCCCTTCCTCCCCCACTATCATGAAGTGAGAGTAGCAGCACTGGCTACCTACTGTGTGGTGCGGGGGATGGGGACTAAGCCTCACAGGCCAGATCCAGCTTGTGGGGGAAGAAAGCAGCTCTGTGTGCTGTCGGTCACCTTCCCCCAACTGGGGAAAGAGCAGCAGAGCGAACGGCTCACCTGGAGGCTTTCCCTGCTGCGCTCATTGGTCAAAATCGATGGGGGCAGGGGAGGATGATGGACAGCACCTGGGAGCAACGGGGGCCATGGAGCCAGGTAAGCATCCCTCATGCCCAGATCCTGCAACCTCCTCCCACCTGTATCCTACCTCCCACCCACCACCCTCAGCCCACTCCTGCACCCAACCTCTCAGCCAGACCCCTCCAGGACTCGTTTTGTCATGATGGGTGGTTGTCTGGTGGTCTGCATTGAGTGGGGTGGGCCATGGGCCAAAAAGTTTGAGAACCACTGCTCTAAGTATTTATGCAGCTAGTTAGGGGAAAAAATGAAAAGAACAAAATCCAACATTTCGTTATTTTCCTGCCTCTTACCCAAATTTTATTTAAACTTTTGACCAGCTCTGTCTTTGAAACCTCAGAACTTAGCTTCCAGAAGTTCAGCCTACCTCTTATTTTCTTCTGAACATGTTCATCCATTTTTTTTCTCTAAAACTATGAAGCACACACAGTTAGTATTTCTGTGTAGGAACCACTTTGAGAATGTTGATCTCTTCCTTCTCCTTCCATCAGGCTATACAGTACATGGAGCTAATTCCAAAGGATATGCAACCAGTAGCCGGCACGGAAGGGGCATACTATCGTCGCAGGCAGCTGATGAGGCAGCTCCCCATCTACGACCAGGACTCTTTCCACTGTCGTGGTCTGGCTGACAGTGAACTAAAGCTTATGGAAGATTTTGTAAAGAAATATAAAAGCGATGCTCTTGGAGTTGGTGAAGTTGCACTTCCTGGCCAAGGTGGCAGTGCTAAAGAGGAAGGGAAGCAGCAAAACACAAATGCAGCTGCAAGTAAGCCACCTGTTGCAACCAATGGAGCCCTGAGTGATGCATCAACAGGAGTGGAATATGTAAGTGCTTGAAAACCATGATGATGTTGTGGGGGCTGGTAGTGTTGCATGGTGACGTGTTCTCATTGCCTGAACAACTTACAGATGCATTCGATGTTAGACCAACTCTGCTCTCATTCAAAGTAGAGTTCACCCACTATTGATTTGTGTCTTAAAATCCTATTATCCAAAGTCAGAAGCTGACTACCTAAATTTAAGCACATGGAAAAAGCAGCCTGGTTTTCATTAACAGCAGCTCCCACTGTGTTCAGTGGGAGTTATAGGTTCTCAGCACTTCTAAAAATCAGATACAAGCTGTCTCAAGTTGGGCATGAGAAAACAAGGCGCACACACAGTTAGTGGCTTTATTTTACTATGCCTATAAATTACTGAATAACTCAATTAGGTCTTCAACACAAATAAAAACAACTTCAGTAATAGCAGGTAGTGTTTTACCTGAATGTAACACTTTGAACATGTAATGGAGGTTCTCTGTGCTGAAGTTACAGGAGCAGTTATTTTTAGTTAATATTTCAGAAGTTTGATTTTAGTACATCTGGAATACATCATGTTATATATGTGCACAGCTGGGACTGAAATGCTTTTCCAAAAGGATCCAGATTCTTTACTAGTCTTTTATCCTTGGAGAATATAAATCTAATGCAACAAAGTTGAAAAGGTGTCTTAGGTGGTCAGTGTGACCATTCCAGGAAATACTGTCATAAAGTGTATTCATTGAGCTGGAAACTTATTTTGTGCTAATACTTGCCAAGATCATTTCAGTGATTGATTTTAAAACTGAAAAACTAATGTGTGACTTTTAAGACGATTATTGTCTTGTAATTATTATACTGAGATGGTAACATGTCAAGTGCAGTCACTTTTCATTCCATATCAAGTAAAAACCTCCTTATTAACTTTCACTTTTTATCCATGTCCAGTGGTTATGTAACTAGTCTTTAGAGTCTGGGAATACAGCAGGGATTTTTGAATATTGCAGCAAAACTTCAACCTGGGTGAAGAATCGCAAACCAAAAAATATACCATCCAAAAAAGGAAGGCTTCCATTAAATTCCTTTATAAAAATCCTCTTGGCACAGAGGGCTTTAGACTGGAAGTTTGTCATTCCAAGCAAATACATAACACTGATATTCTTCTTAGTTCTTT